AAGAGAAGTCCGAGCCCGCACAAACGTTTACTAAAAACGCGGAGGGTCCTAAAATAAGACGTTTTTCTTGCCCTCCAATTAATGAATTACATAATGACCACACTGTCAAAGGCCGTCCCAATTTATCACGAAGGTATTCTTCTTTCTCCTCGTCTTCCGATAGACCCTCGAACATTCCAGTGCAAATTCGTAACAATAACGTACGGCTTCGTAAGTACAGTTGCCCGGAACATTACATTCCAGCAAGAATACTAGAGAGGGATCAGAGAGAAGATCATGGAGAATTAGAGACATACGAATTTGGCAAAAAGACCATTAATGCTTCTAAACAACGTTTCTCAGTTTCTTCAAATCAAACATCTGGAAGAAAGTTACGCGAACAAACTATTGACCATCAAAAACACGCTCTAAAGGGAAAATCGATTCTGGACGCTGAAATACCAAAGGACAACACAGTAAAGAAAGATTTTAAAGATTCACTCTTTGTTACAACTACCGATATAAACGCAAACGAGATTGTTCCTAATTCAAGAGGGCAAATGTCTGGTTGTTCGTCAGAAAGCAGTGACGAAGATTTAGGTTTCACTCTTTACGAAGAAGAGTCTATGCGGAGTTACAGTTTGGAAGTTCAGCCTAAGTCGACGAGGAATAATTTTCCTTCCAGTATGTATAGTAGAAGAGGTACTATGCTAACATGGCTGGGAGAAGTAAATAGAAATAATCCACAGTTTTGGAGTTAGCCTGTGGTATAATGCGAATCTTCGTACGCTAAATTTTACTGTAAACGGAACTATAGATTGTTCGGCCAGCTGCTGCAGCCGCCTCGTTAGATACCCAGTGTGGAAGTCGTTTGAAACACATTTGCCGGTTTTTAAAATGAAGTGCCATTATATTACGTTTGTATTAGGCTCTTAAAAACAACTCTTTATTCAAAGACTGAAACTGAATTGTACTGTACATTCTGCTTACAGTAATGACCAAGTTTCCTGCCTAATTATATAGCTCCATCGAAATCCAATATTGCCAACAGACCTATTTTTTATTAATTTTTGCCAACTGTCCAAATTTAAAATAAATTGGATAGTTTTTGCTCGAACGTTTAGTTTAGCTTTGAAAAAACTGTCCAATTTGAGAAAAATCTGGATACTTCCCATCAACCAATGAAATGTCAAGATAAATAAAAGAACCGAGTATTCGCCAATCAGGTTGCAGCTATTACCACTGCTATCAAACGTCACCGAGCGATTGTAGCTCGCTAAGTTTTCTTATGTTAATGGCGGAATTTCCCGACTTTTCTCTCCACCTTTTTGACGTCTAAACTTTCAAATGGAGTCTTCAGCTAGGTTTTCAGAGAGAGATGCTGCTGATTTACTCGAGATGAGGGAGAATAATCAGAACAAGAACACTCAAAGAAGCAAAAAAAAAAACTGTGTTAAAGTGTTTGACCTGTGACGTGCTAAGCAAAGCGAAGTGAGAAATGCTGTACTTTAGAGGATAAAATATTTCCCTTGTTCATCTGTTTTTGGATCCTATATAATTAATTGGTAATAGGACTACATGCTTGACCAATTTGAAATAATTGGATTCAAAAAATTCCTCGGACTGTACTGCCAAATTGGACCCGGCCTATACGGCCTCGTCCAATTTTGGCTGTCCTCAGAATTTTTTTCATCCAATTATTTCAAAATTGAACAGCATGTAGTCCTATTACATATACAAATTGCAAACTTTCGCTTCGCTTTCCGAGGAAATCTGGCACCGTACTTCGTAAAAAATTAAGTCCCGCTGAAGAAGGACAAATAATTTTTATAGGCGGGCAAGTAATCAAAGTCCTTAGACCTTCTGTATGTTCAAAATATATACACTGAACATAGCTGCAAAATGTAGAGACTGATTTCGTCGGCGCGGGGGCAGTGATCGATAACCCTTCAATAACTCATTGATAATTAAAAACTAACTTCTCATTACAATGACTCGTACAAGCCAAAAAGAGGCGCAGGAGCATGACAACAAAACGTTTGTTATTCTTCTTCCTCGTAAATCTCAGTTTGCACCTTCTTCTGCGTGAAAACCTTTAATTAAGAAGTATTTTAATAATGCACACATGCAAATTTATAACTATTACTTTTGTTTATGACGCTAGTCAACTCCAAGGAACTGCGCTTTTCTTAGCTAAAAATCATAAAACACTATTTCATTAATTTTTTGCCTCGATATTTCAACGAATTTCGACTTCTGCCTCAGGTGTTGCAGACATCATTGCTAGATAGCGTGTAACGCCTGTTGTGCGGTTTAAGTGATGAACGCAAGCCAGTTTAATAGAACTTGTTAATACTTGCTAAAATTTGCCAGATTTCCAAAATGTTAAATGTTAGAGTTTGTCTACACTGTGAAAATGAGGTTTGAAATCCAATCCACCGTAGGAAAAAAGATGGCGGCTGTATATTTTACCAAAATGCCTTGTGAACCTAACACAGCCTAAAAGGCACAAAGATAGCCAAATTTTTACAGTTTTTGTCCCTATTCCAAGGACATTAAGTAGCCTAGGTTTGAAGATTTTATAAGGTTTTTGTTCGTTTTTAATTTATGAACGTTGTTAAGGTTTTCGTGCTCTAAGAACTATGGGTAAATGTACCAGTCGCCATCTTTTTTCCTACGGAGGATTGCGATATGCCTTGTCATATGGCCGTCCTTACATCCTGACTGTCGAGTTCGCCGCGCGTGTCCTATTACTCCAACTCGCGTGTTATTCAAGTGTACTCGCAGGCTAGGGCTGCCACGCCAGCTATGTCCTAAACAACAAGTGGGTCGCATTTGATATGTTGTTGAACTCAGGTTTCGGAACTGATTATGCCGTAATAATATAGATCATAGCGTCCTTGTTTAGGGTCGAAGTTACCGCAAATATATCGGCTTTTACCCATCTTTTAACCTCCCTTTCTTTTATCGATGGGGATTATGACTCTGAAATACCTTTTTTGGTCACAGTCAAAAACGTGAGTTCCTTTTGTCGCATTGCGATTTATTTTCGGTAAATATATTTTGTTCGTTTGTCATTTGCATGAGTGTAGGATTTGGTTTGTCTATTACCAGAAATGATTCGATTTAGCGTTCTCCTTCCAATTCCGATTGATCATCGCACCGCAATGATCAATCATGTCTTCATCTTTTTCCGCAGTTCAAATATATGATCTTTCATATATCATTTGCATAATCTGTCATTGATCCATGAACTGAACATCTCACATCATACACCATATTTTACTGCCGGAGCAACTGTCTCGGCGGGTCTTTGTTTCAACGTGAGCCAAGATACAATTACTTTAAACAAAGATCCCTCTGTAGTTTTGTAAGCGCCCTCCCTTCAGCTCTCAAAATAAGAAAGCACTCCCGGCATCATGTCGAATCATTACTGTACGGTCACGAATGGCGAGACCTACATATGTCCTACATGACGGCTTTACCACATATGACGTTTTTTTCTAAACTTCTGTCAACGTTGAACAAGTCTGATCTGCAACTGTCAGCCGACCTGAGTTTCTAAATTAAACTTCCACTGTTTACAAGTATATAAGCGAGTCTACTATGGCCAAGAACATATTTCGACCGAAAGCTAATTTTCTCCTACTCAGTATCTTGGAACCACCATTCTTTTGTGTTATGCAAGCGCGACCAAGCAGAACAAAGCAGCTCAGAGGCAGCTTTTCTTTTAAACACAAGGTGATACAGACGTTCATTGGCTCGCCGCAATCGTCTCCATGATGGCCTCTTGACATATGACTGGAAACTAGTCAGGTCCGTCCAAGAGTCACCAGCCGGCAAGGGGATGGAGAAGCGCAGGGAAGGGAGGGAAGGCGGGGAAGGGGGGATACGAACGTTTATTTTTGCCCTTTCATGCTTGGAAGTTTTATCTTTCCGGGTGGACTTATTTCCGAGCCATTTCTTCTAAATATTGAACCGTCCCCGAGTGAAGTTTTCTGCATGTCGGAATACCGCGCAAGACAGGCACGAGCGGCTTGGCAATGGAAACGACAGCGCAATAAACGTTTCATGGAAGAATGAAAGGCACGTGTGATGCCGGGGAGGTGGGGAGGGGGGAGGATTCCCATATAAAATGGACGGTGGTGCTCGTCGGAAAGTTTGTAAAGAATCTCCAAGAGTATCAAGATCTGTCTTGTGGGCGTGGCTTGAAATGTTTTTCACCCCTAAGACAAGAACAATAATTGAACAAAAAGTTCATAACTCACATTACTGGACACGCAGCCGTAAATCCGATTGTTTCTCTTATCATTGTCTATTCGCTGTTGGTATAAATCTAATAACTTATTACATGAAATTTTCGCGACACGTTAATTTCGCGAATTTCGCGGTTTAAAAAAATCGCGAAATTTAAGTGACGCGAAAATTTAATGTCGCAAAATTAACAAAATTAACGGACGGACAGTCACGTGACAACCAAAATGTTTTGGATCGATGGGTTACCAAATTTTCTAAGGTATGGGGCTCGGCTCGCACGCCTTCGGCGCACAGGAGCTCCGCTACTAGCGTTCTATCACGAATGAATGAATGAATGAATGAATAAATGAAGGACTATTTAAGTGTCAATGGTTTTTACTCGCTCTCGATTTCTATTACGCGATAGAAATCTCGAGCTCATAATCTAATTGTTACATAGAACACGATCGTTCGTGCATTGCCTTTGAAATGGCAGAATATTTTTGCCCTCGCCCACGCTTTGAGAGTGACAGTCAACTAGGTTCCTAGATCCACCTTCTATTGAATGACAAAGCGAATCAGTGGGGATCAGTGGGGATCAGTGGGGAAGCATTCCCATCTCTCCTTTTGATTTCTGCTCGCTTTCATACATTTCTCAACGGAGCATCCACAGCTGAGAAAAGAGAGAGCAAGCTCCCATAAGAAAGTGGACACTCATCTAAACTCAGAAACAGAGGCCTGTTGTCAGGCTAAACAATGAAAAAGAACCACACTTGGCCACTGAAATCATTTCAGGACTCTGTCCAAATTTTATTGCTAGGCAGACTCACATCAGATGACTGTCAACCTGAGCCAGCCACTGTGTGCTGGCTAACAGTGTTCACCTTTACAATACCACTTATCACTTCACAATGACTGCTTTTTGAAGGCTTAATTTTTTTTTTGTACAAGCATGAGGAAATTTAGTATTAAATTCCGTTCTTTTTTCTGTGCATGGCATTCAAAAGCCGAAGCGATTACAACAAAAAATGTAATCTGCAGAGTTAAAATTTCTTGCACCCTCTGAAATAAGAATAAATTTGGCTTTCTGTTTACAAAACACGAAAGCCAGTTAAGTTTGCTTCTGATATTATTTTAAAAGTGTTCGTATTATTTTTCGGGGGGCGGGGAGGAGAAAGGAGGCCATGTATTGTATTTTTTGGGGATGGCTATTTACTATAAGTAATAGAGTTTTGTGTTTTGAGAGGAGGGGGAATGGAGAGAAAGAGAAAGTGAGAGAAAGAAATAGAGAGAAGTCAGGAGGCTTTGGAGAGGACACTGAGCTAGTCCCCTCTTTCTTCTTCTTCTTCGTCCTCTTCATCCTCCTCCTCTTCATCGTCTTCCATCTTCTTGACGAAGTCATCTGACAAAAGATGAGCTCACATTTTATCCGCTATTTACCATCATGTAGTTCCAGAAAATATCCATACTTCCCCCACAGAAGTGATTTTTTCAAAGACTCCCCACCCCTCTGGAAATTCCAATTAAGCTTCATACATTTCTTTAAATTTTTAGGTCTTACAGAACTCCTCATTCACGCCCTCACCTCCCAGGAAATTCTAATCCCTACACTGGGGGAGAGTATGGATATTTTCTGGAACTGCACATTTTCCCTCACATGATTGGTATGTGTAATTAAAAGACATCACAATTTTGAAAAATAAGTTCCCCCGTCAACGAACACTTTTTGTTAAGTTACTAAAAACAATAATAATAATATGTATGGAAAACAAACATACAGACAAACAAATGGAATGTTTAATCACTGTCAGTACGAGTGCCTAACTCACAAACAAAGTGGTGTATTTCATTTGTACATTGTGTTAGCATAACGATATGCACATGACTACTGTAATATAACCTCAAAAGCAGGGATGACAAGAGGATGCCCCCTGCAGTGATTGCAAAAAGTAAACATTTCATCCTAGAAGCACTTTAAACAAACAACAATGGTATTTACATTATATATTTACATTCAAGTATATCTGATAAACAACAGCTAACAATCTCTAAAGTATAGGACAACTTTGCACGACTGATAAACTTGGTATAACCTTCAGGTTCAACACATACATGCAGAGCTAAGAATATAAATTTAATCAGATTGCAATGGACTGGTACATGTTCGACTCACCTATAATATCCCTCATGTTTACCCACCCTCTTTTGGGTATTGTGATCGAATTTCGATAATTGGCTGTTACCTGGAAAGGAAAAAAGTAGATGTCATTAGACATGTAAAAATAAATAAACAGCTAGAAGTTACTAACTACATCAACATCATCTCCTGGGAATTTATTTGCTCAACACTAAATTCTCCTTTAGTCCCAAGTCTCAGCGCCATTTTAAACTCATGATTGTGACCAAGCAACGTAGGAGTTGTGGCGGGTGACAAGTATATCAAAACTGGCTCATGCAGTGTTCACTTTGGTAACAATCTCTTGCTTCTGAAATGAGGTTTATCTGGGTGGTAACGAGAGAGGGGGTGGCTGCTAGTGCTTAACAATAACACACAAGGAAGACAACTGGATCTGACTAATAATAATCTATTAAAACCAATGCAATTAATATACATTACTGGCAAAAAATTTCAGATTATTTTAATTTCACACAAAAAAGTGCTGGAAATTAAATCGCCTGAAATTTTTTAGCGTATGAAATTTTACGTGTGTGAAATGTTAACAGTACTGTATAAAACTTTAAGGTACAGTAGCTCTAAAGCTCTTAGTTTCCTTTATGGTCGCGAACTCTAGTTAAGAAACTGCTTGAGATGCGTAACAGCTTGATAAAATTTGAGTTATTTTCTTGTTGGTGCAGTTGATTCAATCTAATTTGTGTTTTACAGGCGTGAATTTGCTTAAGTTATGTTCCAGCAAAGGTCCCGAATTTCTTGTCCTAAATTTGTCCAAAATGAGATAACAAGTGTCTGAAAATTAAACTTCCTTTTTTTCAAGTAATTTTTTTTGCAAGTAATGTATTCCTTTGTGCACATTTGAGAAAATGCCCCTGTAACCATGTCTCATTCTTAGATCCATGCTGGAGAAAAAGAGACCATTTGCAGTCAGTTTACTGCCCAATATAAAGCCATGTGCTTACCTCGGAAATCCTCAAATATACTCCTCTTGCGTTGCTACCAACATCAAAGTAAAAACGTTTTTGTTCCACACGCTGCTCACGTGAAGGGGGTAAGTCACTTGATACCTCCTCTGAAACAAAAAGTGTGAAAAGAATTAACCAGGATTGCACAAGAGTTACAACTGGTTCTTATGAAAATATATAGTTAAAGAATTGACATTTAAATTATTGGTTGGGGGAAGGGGTCCGTTCCCTTTCTGCAAGATATTAGAAATAAAGCAGATATTAAATAAATTTAATTACCAAACATTAACTCAATGGCCTTAAAAATATTACATAAGAAAGTATCAAATCAGAGACACTTTGGAGAAACATGTTATATAATATAAATTAGTGAAATAAGAAGCCAACAACATTTTGCCTATGAAGCATTATTAGGGTCAAAATTTAATGCATATTATGTTATGGTGTTTTGTATTTTATTTGGCTACACTGATGAATTACGTTCGAACTTTTGATCGAATTATGTTCCACTCTTTTGAATTATGTTCGGAAGTTTGAACTTATTATAGAATACTATTAAACCGTTTGTAAATTATGTTCGGCTTTTAAGAGTTATGTTCGGAATGTTTAGCTTATAATTGCTTTGGTTGTTTTCTTGATTTATGTTTTGAATTATGGAATGCAACTTCTTTGAATTATGTTCGGCAAGTGGATTGGAGCCTGGCAGCAGGAAACTCACGAGCAGTCCTGGGACGAGTAAATTTTCCTGCACTTTCAATAATTTATTCCAATTATTACCAGTGTTGGTGGTATGGTGGACAACACAATCACTTTCGAATTGGAGCTAATTGGGCAGACATGCAAGTGATATAATCGATTTGATTGAATGAAGCTCTTGTCAGAGTGATTTTCAACAATTCCGCCTTCACTGGTTGTACAATTGTGCGTTACAGTGATCTCATTCCATCTGGAGAAGCTGTAATGGCCGTCACTCACGAAGCCATGGAAGTTATGGGACAAGGTGAAACAAAATCATGATTTTAGTCAGTCCAGTGTCTCGTTTCAAGCACAGATTACTGGTACTAGCGAAAGATAAAGACCACGCTTTATTATTTCAAAGGGTCAGCTCAAGTTTTCATTAGACTTGGGGTTTAAATCCAGAGAGATCGCATCTCTGCTTGGTGTCAG